TTGGGTCATGGTAATTCTGAGAGTGAAAGTGTGACTGTAAACAAGTCAGATGTATTCTGCAAAGCCCTGCACCGAAAACCAACTTGCTTATGCTTATTTCACTCTTTGTAAGGACGATAACCTCCTCTAAGTGTGAATGCAGTAACTCAAAGTGATATAGCGATTTCTTTTTATCCTGATTATTTTACATGAGAAGTGAAAAGACTGGAAATGGAAAGCATCATTTATAAATCATCTTTAGAGAGCTGTAGTAATGAAACTGAGCTAGAACCCTGTGGGGCTCCTGGGCAAGGAAGCCTTTCTGTCCCCCATTTCTTTACTCCAGCCTTCATGAACTTCCCTGAGTTCCAAAGGGCAGATTCAAACAGTCACTAATCTGGGAAGCAATGCAAAGACAAGGGAGGGGCAGCCAAGAAACAGTGGTGCAGCCTTGGGGCAGGGTCCTGGTTCTGCCTCCAGGGATATACATAACAATGTCTTTAAGCTATTTATAGAATTAAAACCCAACAAATGGAAGATGTCAGCATTCTTCATACCAGAAAAGACCACCTGAAGGCAGGAACCAGAGAAGCTCATCAAGAAGATTACCTGAGACCAGATCAGAGGAGTGCAGGCCCTGCATACACCCTAATCTTCATCAGCAACCCCACCCTTGAACAGTTGCTATAAAACTCCTCATCAAATCTTACTGAATCGGGACACTCAGTTTTTGAGGGCAGGAGCCCACTGTGTCCCGCTTTGCCTGGCAAAGCAATACAGCTATTCTTTTCTACTTCACCTAAAACTGTCTCCGAGATTTGATTTGGCACCAGTGCACAGAGGCCAAGCTACCAGAATCAGTAAGATAATCTAACACCTGAACAACACACTGCCTTCAATGTCTGAAACCTCACTCAACAACCAGCACTGAATCTGCTAGTCTGACTGGTTCATGACTACTCTCTCCTGAAAGGTTAGGGGAAGCCAGCCTCACTTCTGCCAATAAAGAGCACCATCAGTCCCTTCTCTACAGCTAGTAATGCTATTAAACCTACCAAGTATTAAAGGGGAAATGGAATAGCCCACTCTAATATTGTACAACCCCAACCCAAGACATTTAACTGTGATCATGCCAAAAAACATAGGACATTTATCATATTTGGAAATTTGGTTGCTTTGGTTCCTTTTAAATTTTCAAAAGAATTATTTAACCCATTTCCCCCCAAAATTGTACTATACTAGCTTAGAACTAGAAACAGGTGTCCTTTGTGCCATCCCTCTCACTCTCTCTGAAACTCTTTTAGTCCTTTCTTCTGCTATGTAACTCCATACCTCTGGCTTCCCATTATAGACAAAGAGCATTTCACACTTTTACCATCTCAATTCCTCACTTATTTCCTTCTACCCTCTCAATGTAGTTACCTAACAATTGATAGTTAAATGGATATTCAGGTTTTATCTTTTTATCCCTGGGAAGTAATGTTTACTGATAAGCCAAATAGTGTACCATGATTATGTTTCACTTATTGAATAACCTTTTGTTTTTTTCTGGAGTTATAAATTGCCTCCTTTTTATTTGCTTAATTTTATGTGGCATTATCACTAATTATTCCAGAACTCTCCAAAGTAATTTTCAAAAGCTCTTTGTAATATATTTTCTGCCTGGGTAAAGCATATCAGTTATTTTATCAGTTCCCTCACACTTGATTGACGATTTAGCTGGGTTTAGAATTCTGGGCTGCAAATCATTTTCACATAGAATTTAGAATGCATTGTTCCATTGTCTCCTAGGCATCAATGTGCTTTTTAGAGGATAAAATCAATATTTCATGAGGCCCTATCAGAAATGTCAAGATATATCCTTTGTATGGGTCTGTTTCCTTCATTGTTCTAGGTACTTATGGGCCTTTTAAATGAAAAAAAAAAATATGTTCTTCAATTTGAGGAAACTTTTGTGTTATTTCTTTGATGACCTCATTTCCTTTGTTTTTCTTCTCTCTCTGTTTTTCTTTCTCAAACTCCTAGTAGTTAGAGCTTAGTCACAGAATTGTTTTTCCAATTTTCTTAACTTCTGTTGTCCATCTTTTCGCCTTTTTGTTGGTAGGTTTCTAAAACTTTATTTTTCAGCTCTTCCATTAAATTTTTAATTTTATCATTGTCTTAAATTTTAATAACTCTTTTTTGCTCTTACTTGTTAATTTTGTATGTTATCATCTCGTTTAATGAATGTAATAAGTTTTTGCCTCTTGAGAAGATCATATTTTTTCCTGAAACTTCTATTTGTTTCTTAAATTGTCCATTGCTTTATTATTTTCATTTGTTTTATACTTTATTTTGGGGGAGCTTCCTTAAAGGTTTGTGGAGCCTTGGCAGTTCATTCATTTTAAAGAGGGAGGCACTAAAATGCTGACTAGAAGCTCTGCATGTCCTAAGTGGGCTCATGGATTCTTGGGATTCACTGTAGGTTAACTGGGAAATAAAGAACTTTGCCTTTTTCACTGGCAACAGTGTAATCCCAGTATCTGTAGGTCTTTTCTGTGAGTGGTGATTCCATTTTTCTAGAGAAGGATTCTTCAATCTCCTGCCATGGCATTTTAAGACTAACTGGCAGACTTCTTGTCCTAAAATGCTACTAGGGAAGCCAGGGCTTTGGTATTCATTTGATAGACTTTTATTTAATCTCTCACCTTCCACTGTATCTGGTATCTCCAAGGCTGAACCCCTCTTGTTCAATTTTTTCATAGAATACATTTCCAGTGTTCTGATGAGAATGGAATGGAATCGGTCTCTTAGCTACGCAAGGTGAGAGGAGGGCTGCGGAAGCCTCCACTTCATATGCAGATTTTCCAACAATCTTCACTTATTTTTAAGCACACTTGGTTCCTCAAGTCCCAAGTCTTTCCAGATTTCCACAAAGGGAGTTGCTTGCCTCTCTTGATACCCTCCTCTGTGGGCATTTTGTAATTAGCATTCTCAACCTTGCTAATTCCAGTTCTCTACTTTCCACTTCTAAAATACTCCTCTCTTATGTCCAGTTGTCTCCTTCCTCATCCCTCTATTCTTGGGGATTTATACCCTTCTATTCTCTTAGCATCATTTTAAGAGAGGATTTTCAAAGTTTGCAGCGTAAGACGGTTGTATAGTTTCCTCCTGCTGCCATAGCATACGCCACAGACTGGGTGGTTTACACAACAGAGATTTATTTTCTCACAGTTCTGGAGGCTAGAAGTCCAAGATCAAAGTGTCAGCAGGTTTGGTTTCTTCTGAGGCCTCTCTCCTTGACTTACAGATGGCTGCCTTCTTGCTGTGTGTTCACCTGGTCTTCCCTCTGTGTGTCCATATGTCTGGTGTTTCTCTTTGTGTTTTCAAATTTTCTCTTCTTATAAGGACACAAGTCATATTGGATTAGGGCTCACTCTAAACTTTTAGCTTAATCGCCTTTAACATAATCATTTAACTTAATCATCTTTAAAGATCTTACCTCCAAATACAGTTACTTTTTGAGGTGCTGGGGATTAGGACTTCAACATATGAATGTGAGGGGACAAAGTTCAGCCCATAACAGGTATGTTTAAAAACTTTTTAAAAAATTCTTAACACTACTCCAAGCATCTTGAAAATATCCTGTATCCTAAACAGAAACAGACTCACAGACATAGAAAACAAACTTATGGGTATCAAAGGGGAAAGGGGAGAGGGATTAATTAAGAGTATGGGATTAACAGATAGACACTACCATATATAAAATAAACAACAAGGATTTGCTGTATAACACAGGGAACTATATTCAATATCTTGCTATAACCTACAATGGAAAAGAATAGAAAAAAGAATATATATATTCATTAATTCATTCACTCACTTATTAAATAACAATTAATGGGCATCTATTTTCATAAGGTTTCTGGTTCAGCAGCACAAGGGATACAAAGGTAAGTCAGACCCAATCTATGAATTTAAAATTTAAAATATTTATTAACACCTTAATGGTGATTCTTCTGAAAAAACTTGACAGAATGTTTCCAAGTGGATACTAACATATCTCATCTTTTACATAAAATGTCATGTTTCACACTTTAAAAAAAAAGTCACTTTTGTTACTCAGAAGTCACACACTTATAAGGGTTGTCTTATCTTACTTTTCCTTACACCATTTCATTTCAGGGAATATATCAACTCAACTTTCAATTGAAGAGGAAAGTTAAGAATTGAGCAGCATTAAAAGGACTCCCTCCCCATAGTTACACACCCACATCTACCCTCTCAGGACAGGCTGAGGAGGACTGGGGCGGGGGAAGAACCATTCACAGAGAAGAGCTAAGAAGAGCTTGTGACAAAGTAGCATATGACAAAGCTCCAACAAGACTGGCCCATGGCTTTTCACACTTGGCAAACACATGGAGTTGAAGAGCATGGCTACAACTCTTGCTTCTAAGGGGTATTGATCCATGGAAAAATATTAATGATTAACCTGAACTTAAGCAATGAGAGGTTGTTACTTTGCACTGCTGATCTCTGCCTTGACCATCTATACAACGTGCATGCAGAATGATTATAAGGCAATACATAAATGATCATTTCATTTACTAGTAAGCTATCCCAGTCCTTTACTAAAATATGAGGACCGATTTTGGTTTAACCTGGGATTTCTTGATGAGAAATCATCACCTGTTATCTCTAGAATATTCTGTGCATATATCTCCCTCCCCCTCCATTGGCTATAGGGGATTTTCTATGTGTGTAAGATTAACCTTAAGATGATAATTTATACGAGGTCTTCTTTATTCTGTATCTTTCCTTGAAAATTTTCTATTTTGGCCTGACTGGTGCTGCATCATGGTCCAGATGTGAAATTAAGCCAACCTTAAACTTTGCTGATACTAGAGAGCATTTGAATAAAAATAAACTAAATTTTAGGATTTTCCAATCACAAAACCATTGTCTGCAGCAAAGCCTTGTTATATATTATGTGTATATATATTCATTGTATTTACCTATAGGCCGTTTTTACTCTTTTTCAGGAAAAAAGGAACTCAAGCATCATTTGTCATTTCTGACAGCAATGCTGAGTGGCCTAACGAAAACTGCCATGGTTGTCTTGTTGAAGGGGTCCTTCATTTGCCTCCCACGCTATGTGGTATCCTTCCTACAGCTATCCACCTCCCTCCACAACCCCTGAACCTGGCTGCCAAGTGCACGCAGATCAAAATAGACAGGAGGTGAGCATATATGTTGATCTAGGCAGAGGACCTCGCAGATGTGAAATGTGGAAAAGAATAAAATAAAATAGATTTGGGGAAGATGTGTCAGCATTGTTTAATTTCCTGCTTCTATCACCACGATCTGGATTGATTTGGGAGGGACTCAAACTCTCCAAGTCTCAGTTCTTCATGAATAAAATAGGGACATTATCAACTTCCTCGTAAAATGGTGCTTTCTTGGGAAGATTAAAGTCAATATACATGAAAGTCAATATACATCCTTCTCTCTTTTATTGTCTATAAATATATACACATATATCTGTTTGTGTATGTGTGCCCACAATTCAACTAAGTGCTAGTTTAGCCCAGAAACTTGTAGTCTAGTTGGGAATAAAGCGTGTATTGTAGAGTGATCCAAATGACAGTGAAATCTCACGGTAAAAGAGCTGCATGATTAGATGCCCTAATCATGATTAGATTGTAAAAGCTGCATGATTAGATGCCCTATGATGGAACTGAAAAAAGAGAACTCACGTATTCCGTCTGAACCCTCACTGCATGCCAGTATATACATTAGTCATAATATTCAAGACAGCCCTGAAACTTAGGCTTTGCTACTCTAATTACATAGAGGAAGAATGCGAGGCTCAGAGAAGGTAGGCAGCTTGGTCAGGAAAACAAATAGATCCACTCGGACCCCAAGCCTGGTCTCTTTCCTTGAGGTCATGCAATCCTGACTCTGAAACATGGTGGAGTGCATGGTGCTTTGTGCATGTTACCATATCAGAAGGATGAGCTGAATCTTGAAAAAAGGGTAGAATTTGGGCAGGTCAAGAGGAGAGAGGGATACTTCAGGAGAGGGGATGGTGAACCGAGACGTGGAGATGGAAACAGAGAAGGCAGATCTGTGAGACAGCTACAAACCAATTTCTTTAGAGATAAATGATGTGGCTGAGAAGCCAGAGATAAGACCAGAATAGTAGATTGGGGCTAATTTTAGAGGCCTTGAAGGCCAGACACAGGAGTGTCATTCGATAGCTCATAAAACAAATGAGGTTATTGAGGAACCACTGTGCTGCACTGTGGAAGTATCAAGACGTAAAAGAAAGAAAGAAAGAAAGAAACAAAGACCCCAGAAAACAAACCTGGCAACAAAATAGGCTTTGTCTTTCTAGGGCTACAGGTCCACTTGCCCCAGTACATGGAATAATGCTCTGGGGCTGTGGCAGAAGTCTGAGTGACAGTCACAGTGACACAGCAAGGGGGTCGTCATTTGGGTCCCCTATCATGGGCATAGGAATTGTTGAGAAAGGCTTCATAGAGGAGATGAATTTATTCTGGAAGTGATGGGCAATGAAGAAAGGATTCGAACAGTGGAATTATATGATGAAAATATCATTTTCAGAAGATTAATTCAGTAGCATCCAATGGGCACAATACGATGGTTAGAGACTGGAAACTGAGACTCCAATTCATTAAATAAAAGATCAGTTCAGCTCTCCAGCAAGAGGAGAGGTAGTGGCAGTGGAAATGAAAAGGCAGGGAAGCGTGAGTTTTTATACTGAAAATCTTGAGGGACTTGACAATGACTGACTGATGACGGTCAGATGAGAGAGAGGAGGATTCAGTGATGACTCTAAGGTTTTGAGTTTACGTAAATGGGAAAATGGCATTGTCCTGAAGAGGAATATGTGAGTCCTATTCAGGAGAACTGATTCAAGAAGAAAGGTGAGTTCAGGTTAGCCAGGCTGACACTTGAACAGTAGGATATCTAGGCAGTTAGAGATACAGATCTGGAGCAAAAAAAGCTTACATTTTTGCATTTGGTCTAGCATCTATCTGCTTTATGAACCCCAAAGATGAGACGTTTACTTCTGCCAGATACTTAGAATTGATAATGTTATAAATCATAAGAGCAAATACATGATAACAATAAAAACAACAGTAATAATAAAGGCTAATATTTGTTGAGAGCTCATTACATACCAGGCACTGTGTTAAGTGTTTTATATGTATAATTGGCATTATTTCATTTAATTCTCATAATAATCATCAGATGAAGGTATTATTATTATCTCCATTTGAGAGATGAGGAAACTAGGGCACAAAAAGAGAAATCAACTTTCCTATGGTAACACTGTAAGTGAGTGGCAGAGCCTGAGCTCAAACCTAGATAATCTAACTATGGACTGTCCAATACGGCAGCCACCAGTCACACAGGGCTATAGAGACTTAAAAGGGAGCTAGTGTGATTGAAGAACTAAATTTAATTTTTAGTAATTAATATTTAAATTATGAAACTGATAGCTGATTCAGTTATTGGAAATCTGAAACTTGAGTAAATGAATCTACATTTCTTTGTAAATTTTATGAGATCTAAATTTAGATCTAGCAAGATTGATGGAAAGTTAGCATCTAAATCAATATATAAAACACAGACAGGATTTCAAAGGCCCAGAATGAGGAAAGGTTTTAAATATTTCATTAATAATTTTATATATTGCTTACAATAATAATTATTGATTATAATATTTTGAAATTAATTTTATCTGTTTCTTTTTATTTTTTAAATGTGGTACTAGAACATTTTAAAGTACAAGTGTGTTTTGCATAGTATTTCTATTGGCTATTGTAGGTCTAAATACTGAGAAATAAATAAATGAGAGGTCAACTGCATGACAAGACAAATGACATAGTTAAGGGAACACAGGTTATTTCTTTTTCCATTCTGGATGACTATTTTTGACAACATCTGTAGAGAATATAGAAATTGTCTTAATTCAATGGGACGCTGAGCCCTGGATGTGACTGACTGTTAATCTCCCCACTCTTTTATATTGGTCAACTCTTTCACCATTTTCCGGGAAAACAACAACTCTAACTACCTTTTCTTGGTATGTCTTGTATTTGTTTACCTTTCAAAGGTGAATTACTTTGCTCACAGCTGTTTTCTATCTTTCATCTCAAGCTGTATCTTCATGTCAATCTCAATCTAGAACTGATTTATCAAAGAACCAGAGGAGGGCTTCCCTGGTGGCGTAGTGGTTGAGAGTCTGCCTGCCGATGCAGGGGACACGGGTTCGTGCCCCGGTCCGGGAAGATCCCACGTGACGTGGAGCAGCTAGGCCCGTGAGCCATGGCCGCTGAGCCTGCGCGTCTGGAGCCTATGCTCCGCAACGGGAGAGGCCACAACAGTGAGGGGCCCGTGTACCATAAAACAAACAAACAAAAAAAACAAAAACAAAATCCCAGAGGAGACCCCACCAAAAACTGCTCAGAGCTGTTCTAGGAAAATAGTAGCTAGAAAACTAGGAGTTATTCAATAACAAAGTATAGCCTTGTATGCCTGGATTTTTTTTTTTTAATGGGGGATTATAGTCTGATAGTGAAACCTTGGTGTGTTTGAGAACTATTGATAATAATCCAGACATTTGCTCTTCTGAGAGTTATATGTGTAATAGAAGGTAGAAGAATTTAATGTAAAGAATAGTGCAAGGGCTAGGGACTTGTGAATCTTTGGGTATGACAAAAATTAAGGCAATGTCATTTATCAAGAGAAGAAATGTAAAATTCTACCAATTTTCAGGATGCAGTATATCTGAAGCAATATGTCCCCCAAATTGGAATTATCCAGATGTTTTAAATTGGTCAGAGTAAACATTTGATTCATCCCAGAATGACCAAAGTCAGACGTCGGAAATTCACATCTACTTGCTAGCTAAGGGGAGTAGTATTTTTTCCACTCTCTATGCCAGCTCCCTTGACATACTTAGGATCTACCCACAGAATACTTCAGGTCAGTGAATTCGTAGCCAAATGCCATTATAAGAATGTGTGTATTTCCTGGCCTTTATTCAATTAAGCACTGTGTTCTTAACTTACTACTAAATCCTCCTTTGGTTTTTAGGTTTCATAAAAACTTTCATGCAGGTTAGAGAGTGTTCTTGGTGTAGAAAATGTAGCCCATGTCTTCCCACCCCATAGGATAAAATTATAAAATTATACTTCCACAGTTATATGATATCTGTATGAAATAATTTCAACCTCCAAGATATATTCCAATTTTTGAGACTACTGTATATGAAGTCTCAGTGCGAAAGATAAACTGATCTACTTCACTCCTTTTTAATTTTTAATTATTATTTTCAAGTATTGACTATGCACTGTTTATAACAATTCTCTATAAGGAGATCACAAGCAATAAATTCTCTATAAATTTTTACTTACAAGTTATATATGATATATATCATATTAAAAGGATGTATGAAATACTAAAGTGCTATAAACTATAGGTTGTAGCAATGAGGTCCTCATACTATAAGGCACATGAAGAGTAACTTCTCTGGCCAAGAGAAAAGAGGGCTTTGGGAAACAGATAAACAAATCTGTTAGAGAGGACATTAAGGGCATTTGAAACAGCCTCAATAAAACACCCAAGCTCCTGGGAAAGGACTGTATCTAACTACTGATAAAAGTGCTTTCAGAACTACTAAAAGGGAGTACGACAAATACCCCCATCTGGCCAAACAAGACAAATGTGTGCCTACTGAATTTCCAGTAAGAAATGTTTGCTTAAAAGGAAGAGTCTATTTTAACATTGTTTTTCACAAGCAACACAATAGAAAAGGATAGAACACAGTCTCATAGCTAATTCTCACTGTGCAGCTATGAACATACTTCTCTCCAGTGACTGGGTCACAGTATGTTATTTTTTGTTGGTTGCTTCTCTGCTGTCCTCTATAATTCCAAAATTATGTAGTTCTATCCGTAGTCAACACATCCCTAAACATTAGGCCGTTTTTGGTTGATTTCTGGCAATTGTGCCGCTTCAACATTCTCATTTAATATTTATTTCTGAGAAAATAATAGTAGTAGAACAGATCAGTACTGGATCATCTTGTTAATATTTACTTTGTGAAAGCCTTTGTTGGTTACAAAAAGATTCAGGATTCACTATGACAATTTGATTTGAAATTCATGGTCAGTTTAAAAATAAATGCCATTTTACAAAGCCTTACAATCTTACAGT